TATTTTTTTCTGAATTTACGCGTTGTGAGATAATATCATTAACAAATGAAATCATGGAAATTTCTCTTCGTTTCTTAAGTGTTTCAATGTTTATCAACATGCAACGGGACTCATAAGAAGGAAGGGGAAAAGAAGTCCAGCCTAGTTTCCTAAGAGCAAATAACAAAAACTGTTTTTGAACTGATTCTATACGATTTATATAAGTTTCATGGTATGGAGCCCAAACCACACTGCAATATTCGAGAATTGATCTCACGTAAGCTATATAAAGTGTTTTGATGGTATATGGGTCTTCAAAATGATAACTAAATCTTTTTATGAATCTCAACATATTATTTGCTTTGTGAATTGTGGTATTCACATGATCTACAAATGTCAACTTCGAGTCAAGAATTACTCCTAAGTCCCTAATTTTATCACACCTTACAACCAGCTGGTTTCCTAGAGTACATGTAAAATCTAGAGTAGTGTGTTTTCTGGAATATGATATAATATTGCATTTTTTAACATTAATGTCCAGCTGAATTTTAACGCACCAATTGTAGAAAACATCAAATTCATTTTGAAAATGAAGCAAACCAGAATTGTTAAAGATTTCCATGTACAGTTTCATATCGTCAGCATATATGAGCACATTTAAACGATTTAACACAAACTTCACGTCATCCACAAATAAAATAAATAATAAATGACCTAAATGAGATCCCTGTGGAACTCCCGTGCTTGTGCTTGCCACACAATATATAAATTCATGCATTGGTATTGGCATCGAAAGCTCTCAATTAATAACTGTGGAAGTGCATTTAGAACACCAATATGCGCTAAGCAATAAGCTTGAAATGCGAATAAGAAGAAAGAAGAAAGACGTAAGTCGGCCTGAATGCCCCTAATTTGGGCCGATACATAAATTTAGCAATCGACTAAATTTTCAATAGCGACCAAAAACATCCATTAGTACCGATGATAAATAGCAGATTTTTAGCGATGAACCCAATCTTAGATCCAAAGGCCAACATTAGAGCCATCTCCCCTATGTCATTAAATTGATTAATTTAAACAACATACCAATAGCTTGATGAGATATATGTAATAGCAAAACGTGATTTTAATTTGTTATGATTTTTGCTAAACTAACTAATTAAAAATAGCCGCTTAGAGATAATCATGTAATTTTTTCAGCAGAATTGCTCTGCAATGCGTCTTATTTGTAGCAAATATATGAGATGAGATGTATATTAACATTCCGATGATTTAGATTTCCAAAATTCGTATAAAATCAAAGAGTCTAACTGCAAAAATGAGCCTAAATGTTGTTTTGGTATGTCGAAAAAAGCATAATCAATACAAAGGACCTGAGCAGGAGAAATGCAGTATTAAAAGTTTTCATATCTTCCTGGAGATTAGACCTTGAAGTTCAATAAGTCAAACAACATTTTGTGGAATACAATGATATAGTACCAACATATTTATCATTCTCCAAATTTTTCTGGAAATATTTTACAGGTTGACCGAAATCTTCGCAGTATAAATATAGAGGTAACTTTTGTAATAGACTGCAATTAATGAACAAAATAGTAACCCTAACTGCTGCATAGTTTTCTACTCATATACCTTCCAGCTAACGCTTGATTAGTAGGAAACTTTATCGCTAATGTTTCCAGCTTACTCACGGCGATAAATTCCGCACACATGTTTTACACTTGGAAATCTAACGTATGTTTACGTTCTCTTAATTAAGCATCTCTCATATGAGAGCGTATATTGACGATGAGATATGATGTACGTTAGCGACACAAGCACAGTGGAACAGTTCCAAGATAGAGAAACACCGCAAATCATTGCAATCAGAGCATGTGACGTGCAATTGATTTGTAAATTGCTTGTTTTCATTGATTACCAACGATTCGTTTATCTCGAGATTGTAATTTAATACCTACACATGCAGATTTCCTTTATATACTGTAAAACGGGTGAAGTTGATCACTACACCGTTCAATTTTCGTTTCTCAAAAATCTTTTTCATGATATATTTATAAGATAATTTGTTTAGTATTTCATTAAGTAGACTTTTAACTGTTACTAAACATCCTTCGGTAAAATTACCTATTTTTCTTAATGTTGGGTCGCTGAATTCGAATCTGAAACCAAATTTTGTAAGAATGATCTTATGTGAAAAACTGATTGCCTACATTTAGGCGTATTTTTTTAACATGTTTGCAACAAAATATGGAGCCCACAACTAGGGTAATTTGCCATTTATCCATGACTATGACGTTTTGGTGATATGCTAATCAATGATCAATTGTTTAATGATAAAACATGTGTTTTTGATGCTCAATGTAGAAATATTGTGATAAAACATGTTTTAAATTTGTTTAATATTGTGCTTATGATTTCAGTCGATTTTTAAATGTTTCAGCTAATAATCCTCAGTTGTTACTAGCTAGCTTTTTTTTTCCTTTGGTTTGTTTTCCGTCGATCTTGTTTTCCGTGCTGAGCACCAACGCTACCGACGCGCCAGGAAGGCAGCTCCCACACCTGGACCCTACCTATCGACCCATCAACTCATGAACCGGGGACCAACGGCTTTACTTCCCTTCCGAACGAAGGCGTGATCAGAGATGTTATGCCTCAGAACATCCCGGCGGCGCCGACTGGGATTGAACCCAGGCCTGCTGGGGTGAGAGGTAATCACGTTTACCACTACACCACCGGCGCCGTTACTACTAGCTCAAAATTAAATTAAATTAAGTAGGGGAAATGACGGCTTCGGCATGACAGACTATTGTCGGCAACCCAATTTGAAACGCTAATTTCACTGGATTTTCTTAAGAAATCACTTCGATGAATGCATTCAGCTTCAATTTGATTATATTTTTACGACTGAGAAAAAGTTATCTAGCAGGGTTTTCTTGAAATGAAACACACGCACTACAAAACGCTGCTGTATTCGAGTTGCCGATGAAAGCACAGCTGTTTAACACGCAGCTCAAATAGAAAGGCTGCCGAATAAAAAGACGTTGCCCACAATAGTCGCTCGCACTAGAGAATATTGGAGCTTTGTAAAAGCGTTTAAAAACAGTTTTTGACAATTCTTTCGACTGAAATTGTTAGAGCAGCTGGCAGCAAAAGATTGTAAACAAACCAAAAATGTATATGTGTGCGTTCCTTAGAGAAAAAGGCTATAGAAAGATGGTCGCTGCTTAGGTTGCCGAGAATACGTAAATTCCCCTAATCTGTGCAGGAAAATGTTTGTTATTCTTTTTTCGAACGATCACTTGCAATATATATATCAACTATGTAAGATTTACAGAGAAAACAATAATGTTTAATAATTGAATCACCTTTGAATTCATTTTTGTCCATGGGTATAACGCCTAAAGCTATGCAACGTTTCATATAAAACAGGAGCTTCGTATATTTTGCATCGATTATTGACCGGTTCAATAAAATAACTAATATTCTAAGTACGATATACCGAAAAGTTATGTTTAATCATCTAACAGAATCACTGATTCATTATTTTTGCTGAAATTTTCCAAGCTGCATTTAGCCATATTTTATGGGTGTGCAATAATAAGATACACAGTGAGCAATAATAGAATTTCAAAGCAAATGATGATTGGGCTCTGAAGTAAATTCAAAAGTTTCTTTATACGGAATATTTTTACCAAAATTTTTTTTGAGGAATTCCTACTTTAAAAACGTTTGCAATCTCATAAAATCACAAAGCTGTGCAACAATTGGCGAATTACTCTATTTTTTTTTTTAATTTTTACAATTCTTCAGCTGAACGGCGCCGGTGGTGTAGTGGTAAGCGTGATTACCTCTCACCCCAGCAGGCCTGGGTTCAATCCCAGTCGGCGCCGCCGGGATGTTCTGAGGCATAACATCTCTGATTACGCCTTCCTTCGGATGGGAAGTAAAGCCGTTGGTCCCCGGTTCATGAGTTGATGGGTCGATAGGTAGGGTCCAGGTGTGGGAGCTGCCTTCCTGGCATGTCGGTAGCATTGGTGATCAGCACGGAAAACAAGATCGACGGAAAAAACAAACCAAAGGAAAAAAAAAAACGGTTTGAGAGGTATTTGTTTGTATGGCTGGAAAAATATTCTGGTTTGTCGGTAAAAAGTGATCAATTTACCCCCGTTTTACAGTACTAATTATCGCTCATCGAAGTCGGTTGACCATACGTAGGGGCAGTGATGGAAAAGTTCGCGAAAACTCACTATGACTCGCGAACTTTTCCCTTGGTGAACTTCGTGAAATATCGCGAACTTTTCCAACACTGCGTAGGGGTTCCCATTGCATAAATGAAATGATGAAAGCCTAAAAAAAATACTAGAGTGCGTATATCAAAATTATGAATATACTTCTGGCAACCATCATCGACTCCTGTACACGGATTAAATGATAGACCGAGTTAGAGGAGTTTATCAATATTTAAATATATTGTCACAATTTTGCCCTATTTCAATATCCTTAGAATAACTTTTTGTACTCTATCTTAAGCTGGCAAAGTTACCCTACCTGTTATCATACATATATCAATATAGCCTAATGTACCTATATAATACATACTATTGCAAAAATAATTCTGACGTGAGCTTCCGTTATCACACACGCGAAAAGTAGGAGTGCGCAATCAACAGCCAGGCATGATAAAATCCCGAAACAATAATTGAAGCCATCACTAAACCCATCAGATTTGCTTATCATATCGCAACGACCGAAAAACGTAGAGGTAGCATCTCAGACAGTAATCGAACACAGTGTAATTAATCCACCACATTTCTGAGTTGGTTGCTAGAAATTTACAAAAGCAGTGAAAAAACGAGCAACCACAGCTAACTAGCACTCCCACTGAAATCAACTGCCCGCAAAGGGTTTATCGGATAAAGGATCCACGAACCAGCAGGACTTTGTGCTCCACTCATAAGTGATAACAAATGTGTTAAGCAATTAAAACTATCATTTAGAAAACGTAGTCGTGGGTCAGTGATTTGGTTAATTTGAATTCTGGAAAATAACAAACTATGTGGTGGGTTTTCCATGTGCTGTGGTTAATACTAGTTATAGTGCTATTTTTTCTAATATTGGTAAGCATATGTAAAACTAGAGATATTAATCCTTACAATTGCTGCATAGCGGAGTTTTGTTTGAGTTTTTATGGATCATTAGAAAGCTGTCTGTGGATGTACGCAAAATGAAATTGTGTGTGTGTGTGGGTTTGTCTGGAAACCTGGGGATCACTTTCCAAATGACAGCTAAGGGTTTTACAAAAAAAAATGTATGACAGCAATTCTGAAAAACTTAATTTAGAGGTGGTACCGATGAGTTTTTTTAAAAGGTTTTGCATAGTAATTACTTTAAAAAAATATTTCTAATGCATCGAAACTTAATGCAACCCAATCCGTTCATATGTTTACACATTCCTTGGGGTCCATACTAAATGAGAAAAATGTGATACCTATAATCGGTTCAATACAGCTCATAGATAAGAAAATTTATGACGAATAACTTTTCCGAAGAAAGTATTGATCATTATAAAGTTATTCGTGGTTTTCACACAAAAACGATCAATAAATATGAATTATTTAGAAAATTAATCAAGTAAAAAATCATATTTGAGCATTTCTGAGAGTTGTTAAGATTTTAGGAGGGGTGTATAAAACGACTCCTTTGCATTTCTATGAATCCAAAATTCATATAAATGCAAAACTGATTGGCAATCCAAATATTTAATGGGTCCACTCTACTATGCAAATTCGACAGCTGTCAAGTGCCGCAAATCAACAATAATTACTAAATCCTGAAAAGCATCCTTCCGATATTCTTTTTGGCAAGCATGTTTACAAAGATATCTATTCCAACTGTGTGCATTATGATCCATCAAATAGTGACAATTTGGGGCATGTCACACCATTGTGAAAAGACTGAAAGGTATCAAAAGACTAAAACGTATCAACAATAGGGTGTCCCAAAATAGCCTTTTGTGATGAAACCTGGTGGCTCACACTCCAAATGATAGCTTAAGGTTTCACAAACAAACTTTTGTATGACGGCAACTCTGGAAAATGTTGTTAAGAGTTTACAAGTTTTTCTTAGTTTATATCCAAAAAAAATATCTCTAATTCTTTAAAATCTGGTGAAACCTAACTTTTTATATTTTTTACAGATTAGTTAGGGTCCAAAATATAAAAAATAGAAGGGTCTGCGCCTAGGGGCACGAACGGAAGCTTGACGTAGGACCGCTAGTGGACGGAACAAATGCGAAGAGCATTTAGTTCTTTTAATTCATCGATCATCTATTCACCCCTATTCTGTATTTCGTTTCAAACGAAATTCTCATACAAAAAAATATTTTTTTGTATGAGAATTTCGTTCGAAACGAAATACAGAATAGGGGTGATTATCTTAACTCTTTCCGTTTTTTGAATTGTAGGCGTAGCGGCGCCGGTGGTGTAGTGGTAAGCGTGATTACCTCTCACCCCAGCAGGCCTAGGTGCAATCCCAGTCGGCGCCGCCGGGATGTTCTAAGGCATACATCTCTGATCACGCCTTCCTTAGGAAGGGAAGTAAATCCGTTGGTCCCCGGTTCATGAGTTGATGGGTCGATAGGTAGGGTCCTGGTGTGGGAGCTACCTCCCTGGCGTCGGTAGCATTGGTGCCCAGCACGGAAAACAAGATCGACGGAAAACAAATCACGGGAAAAAAATTATAGGCGTACTAAATTAGTAGTAATTTTTTTCAAAGAGAAAGTTGATGAAGAGAATCAATCAAAATCACTTTCACCCCTGCTTCCAAGTTTGGTTACAAGATTACAACTCTGGAGAGCATTTTGTGTGGTCGTTGGGGGCGTGTGGTTCTGTACTATAATAAGCTTGTTGGCCCTGAAAAGGGCCGTTTTGTTGCCAAAGTTGGTGTTGATTTAACCTCCGAAACCATACAAAGTGCGTATGTCGCTTCAAAGCGTAGACGACATCCATGGCCACTTACGCTTGGCGTGTTCAGAGTAGGTGACAGCATCACGGATCACATTTTCCAGGAACACCTTCAGCACACCTCGTGTTTTCTCGTAGATTAGACGTTTAACCCCGCCACGGCGAGCCAGACGACGAATGACGGTTATCACGAAGAACCTTGCGATGACGCTTGGCGCCTCCTTTACCAAGACCTGTTCCTCCTTTCCCACGACCAGTCATTGTTGCTTTATGGGTAGAAGAGTGAACTACCTAACCTGTCACCACCTTCCTACTGTTGCTATTGCTGCTTGAGGCTAGACAGCAGTGCTCTTTTATATCTTTTCAGATTAAAACAGTGGTGCAACCAAGTGGTACTCGATAATGGGTTTGGGAAGAACGTATGTTTCATGAAAACAGTGATAAAATTATCACTTTTTATTTTTACATTGGACAATGCTTGACATTACCACCTTTTCAATAGTTTCTTGTTAAAAATTATCAGTCGGAAGCATTGCTATTAATGCGTAGAAATATTTATGATCGATTGGTGATAAAATGATTGAAATTGGTCCAGGGGCAGCTGAGCTATAAATGTTCAAAATCTTTCATAATTTTGTTACATGTTTCAATTTTCGGTTTTCACAAAGTGTACCCCCATATAGAAATGACAGACGTAGTCCTACGTTTAAAAAAAATAATTGTTATGGCTTGTTTAGCGTATTTTTTGAACAATTTTTAAAAATCTCAAATTCGATAATTTTTAAAGTACATTATGGATTTTAATCGTCAAAAGTTAATGTCTACATAATGCTATTATTAATCTAATACCACAGAAATATGGCAAATTTTATGACGAACTGCGATAGGTTAATCTACCACGCAACTTCAAAGTCGCACTGCAGGAACTTTGCTGGACGGGACAAAAGGTATACAAAAGCGAGCATCGAGTGGCTACTTTCTACCAGAGCTGTGACACCACAAAAGAGCTGAGAACCGGCTTTGTAGTGCAGGGTAAGATGCGTTAACGCGTGATTGGTTGGCAGCCAATCAACACGAGGATGTGCAAGTTGAGGATTAAGGGCCGTTTCTTCAACTAAGGCTTGTAATCGAAAAAAATGCACCATTTTTATCCGTGTGTAACTTTTTTATCCGTGGGCAAAAATTGATGAAAATCTGGGTATAACTAGTTTGGAGTGAATTGTTCACATGTGCAAAATTTCATAACAATCGGTTCAGTGGTTATTGAGATGTCATCGAAACAAGAAGAAAATCGCCGAAGAATTTTGCGCGCCGTCATGGAAAATCCGACTGCGACCATGAGATGGAATGGAAGACAACTGGGAATCACCCATACAACTGTGTCTCGGGTGGTAAAATCGTTTAAGGAGTCACAGCCGACCGAGCGGCGGGCTGGAAGTGGAAGAAAATCGAAGACAGCTGACCCTGTGAAGGCTCGGAAGGTGTTGGATTATTTCAAGCGTAATCCGAACCTTTAGATTCGCGACGCGGCTCTGAAGGCAAAGTGTTCCGCCTGGTTCGTTCAGCAAACCATGAAACGAGCTGGGCTTCGTGTATATATTCAAGGTCCGGAAGGCACCGAATCGGCGTAATCAACAAAACACGGCGGCCAAATCCCGCGCAAGGAAGCTGTATCGAGAGTGGTTAACGAAACCGATGTGTGTGGTTATGGATGACGAAACCTACATGAAGGCAGACGCAAAGCAGATACCGGGACTGGAGTTCTACGTTGCCAAATCACGGTTTGATGTCGGGAAGACATAAGGAAGAAGAAAGTGGACAAATTCGCCAAAAAATACTTGATCTGGCAGGCCATATGCCAATGCGGTAAACCGTACATCACAATGGGTACCATCAACAGCGAAATTTACCGCACCGAGTGCCTCCAGAAGCGTCTGTTGCTCTTCCTGCGGTCCCACGGAGGCGAGACATTATTTTGGCCGGACCTGGCATCATGCCATTACGCGCGATCGACGTTGGATTGGTACAGAGACAATAACGTTGTTTTTGTACCAAAAACCGCCAACCCCCCAAATTCACCAGAGATTCGTCCGGTGGAAAGATTTTGGGCCATAATGAAGGCCAAAGTTCGAAAATCGTCCAAGGTGTTTAAGAACGAGCTGGAGTTGAAGAAAGAATGGAAAGGTCGGCTGTGTAATGTTGGTAATGAGGGGTCTTAAGGGAAAGGTTCGGGCTTTCAGCGATGGAAAGGAAATTGAATAAAGTAATTATGCCGAAACACAATCCATATGTATTAGTTCATTCCCTGAAAGTTTCAAGAAAATCCGACTTAAAATAAATTTTTGGCGAACACTTTTGTCTGGTGCATTTTTTTCGAGTACAGGCCTTACAGCATCATCAACGTGCACTGCCCACACGAAGGGAGACCCGACGACGAGAAAGAAGCGTTCTATGCGCAGCTGGAGCAGGTGTACGACGGCTGTTCGCCCGCAAGGATATCCACAAAGCCACCTGGAGATCACCTGACCAACACACAGAAATTCTTCTCCGACATTATCAACGTCCGCACGCACCGCAGTGCGAACATAGATGCGGACCACTACCTAGTTACAGTATGCATGCGCTCAAAACTCTCGACAGAGCATAACACCCGTCGAAGTCGAATACCGCGACCCAACATTGAGCAATTACGCGGGCTCCGACCCAGTGAACGTTGTTCACTTTGGGGAGATCCTGGTTGGTCAAATCTCTAAGGAGTTGGTTAGCCTTTTCTAGGAGGAACCCTTCACGCAGAGAAAAATATTTTTAACTTAATAATATTTGACGTAAAATCAATAAGAATTTCATTTTGTTTTGGCTGCAAAAAGAAATCATTTTTGTTTCAACAATCCAGTATCCCATGGATTGTTAAATCAAAAAGAAAATCTTTTCGAATTTACAAGAGCTTTTATATTTTGACGTAAGCTGTCAAATTGGGCAGCTGCGTCAACAAAAAAAAATATGTTTGTTTTTAAAAGAGATTTCTTGTTGATCAAATCATATTTATTTTATGAAGCCTGACAATACACGCAGTCAAAATATATATTTTTAAATGATTCAACAATAATTTGGCGATTATTTTTATGTTATGTTTTCTTTTTGTAACAAACAGAATTGCAATTGAAATTAGAAAACCTTTCTTTCAAATCCGTTTTCTTAGACACAGTGACTGAGTAAAACTATATCGCTATATTTTTTCTTCTCAAACAAATTTCTTTAATTTCCCATAAGTTTTGGTAACAGAAGTGAACGCGTAACATTTGAAAAAGGGTTTACCACGGCAACATAAACTAATTTCTCGCTAAGCTCGCAGCACAGTTTGACAGAAGATGATGTTAGCTTGCACCTGAAACAACACATTGAATGGGAAATTCATTTGGAGACGGGTAATTCGCGAAAGAGAAAATCGATGAAGAGAATCGATCAACAATGATAGGCCCTTTTCTCGTGTTGCGTGAGATTTATGAAATTTCTGTAAGAAGCAGTAAGAAAAACAGAACCGCACCGTAAAAAGAAGCCGGTACAGCAGTTACCAATAGATTTGACTCTGGGACACATATTGTTGGGGGATAAACTGTTTATATTTAGCAACTGCAGCATACAGTGTATCGCTTACTTACCTCAAGTCTCAATGTTTTCGGAAATCTTGCACTTATTTCACGAAATTCACATTAAACAATATTTACGTGGAACGCTGAAAAATAGAGCTGAATTCGAACGAGAACAGTGTTGTGTTATTGTTTACATTTTTGTCCGGACGAAAACGAGGAAATGGGGGAATGGACACAACAAATGCTAACTTAAAACTAGCTATTGTTGGCTTAATAAAAGAATTTTGTTATTTTTACAATAGTTGCTATTTAAAACAAAAAGAATCTTATTTTGAATTTATGTGAATAAGTATTATCCAAACAATAAAATCCAATATGATTTCGACAGGAATTGTTTGTTTAAATACAATTAAAGTTTTTTTTTCTTTGGTTCAATGTAAACAATTTCCTCGCCTGAAGTTTTTTTCGGCTGTACCGATAGCTATCCGACAGATTGCGCTGAAAATACTCGAAAACTATTACTCAATCTTGTAATCAACTCCTTCTAACATGAGTAGTTCTTTCACAGATAAAAGCCACTGGTTACTCCAACTTAAAATACTCCAAAGTTCGATTATCTATTTCTTCATTGGGTCCATTTGAAATATTTTTGTATTTTTTTAAAAGGTAATCTATAGGACATTTTCTGAAGAAGATCAAAAGTTTGCAAATTATCCAGAATTTTAAAGGGACATTAGGACAATCAACTTTAAGTGCAGAATATGTTGCAGGCTATAAAGAATTTGAACGCCTCAAAAGTTCCTGGTCCTGACGGAATTTTTCCAGTATTTATGAAAAGTCTAGCAATGGAACTCACTGCTCCAATATTTTGGCTTTTTAATATGTCACTGGAATCCTGATGCTTCTAAAATATATGGAAATGCTCATTTTGTCCATTCGACCTTTTGCCCCTTTGAATTCCTTTCGACATTTTGTCCATTGGACCTTTTGTCCATTCGACTTTTTCTCTATATTTCGTCATTTTGTCCATTCAATATTACCGGCGCCGGTGGTGTAGTGGTAAGCGTGACTGCTTTGGGGGTCGGGTTCACTCCCAGCCGAGGTCGGTGGTATTTTTCTGAGGCATAACATCTCAGGTCACGTCTTCCTTCGGAAGGGAAGTAAAGCCGTTGGTCCCGGCCCATGTGTGTTGAATGGGTGTGATATCATACACAGGTGTGGAAACTGCCTTCCTGCACATTCGATTGGCGTCAATGGATGACAATCGATGTCCGTCGGTGATTGGCACTAGATTGTGGAACAGAGACCGACGTTAAATAAAGGAATGAATGAATGTCCATTCGAAATTTTTTTTTTCATGTCGACCATTTTAAGCTGAACATTGCATTAGGTCCTACGTAACATTGATCGATTCTCTTCGTCGACTTTCTCTTTTGTTAATAACTTGAGCACATAACCGTTTCTTGTTGTGTTTGTCGTATCAGATGCTTCTTTTATCGATCTGTGTTACTAAAATACTTGGGAATGTCTTTACATGGCCGTGGGGATACAAAGAGAAAGTCGACGAAGCAATCTGTAAATGTTACTTAGGACATAATGCAATGTTCAGCTTGATTTGTTCATTTCAAGCTTTTGTCCATTTGAACATCTGTCCCTTTAAATTCCATTCGATGTTAAGTCCATTCGACGTCATTCGACTTTTTGTTCATTTCGACCTTTTCTCCATTCGATCGTTGTTATTATAAATGTTGCTTTGACCTTCCCCTTGGGGTTTACAACAAAACTAGCAGAGAATCAGGAAGAAGACACCGCTGAGTAATATTATGTTCTCTATTTCTCCACAGCGACGAATATATTACTTTGGCATGCAAGGTACCGAGCAAGAACAACAGAATGAAATACGACGTTCACATGATATAAGTAATACGATAACGATTAACTAATGTGTAACAATCGATACTTACAAGATATTTTTTCCAGGCAATCAACAGTATTACATATTCACAATCTATGACTCTAATAATCAACGAAATTCCAGAAATCAACCAGCCTCGGATCAACCTCCTCCTAATTGTATGAACTGCTTAATGCCTTAATCTCCGATTCATTAATCAAAGTTTCATTTCCAGACGAAGCTCCTCCGCCTCCACCCAACTATGAAGATGTGATAAAATCACCTGAGGTATTCCAAAAGCCACCACCATACAGTCAAATACAATAGTTTATTCATGGTAATCAATGTTTAGATATAATAAAAATCACCACACTATTTTCCATTTCTGTAAAACATACCTCCTTTACGTAAGATTGATAGAAATTATCCGAATCTCATCGTAGGGTTTGTCGGTTTTCGGATTCGTCTTACTGTTGCAGATATTCTGCACTACTTCCATGCCTTTGTGCACGCGACCGAATACGGTGTGCTTGTTGTCCAACCAGGGCTATTGGATGACGAAGAAAAATTAGCAGTTAATGATTGCTCAATACTTAGGCAACATCTTATCTCACTCACCGTTGGCAACACCGTGATAAAGAACTGACTTCCGTTGGTGTTTGGGCCCGCATTGGCCATGCTGACTGTGTACGGTCGATCGTGTTTCAGTGTGGAACAAAATTCATCCTTGAACTCACCACCCCAAATCGATTGACCACCGGTGCCGGTTCCAGTGGGATCACCCGTTTGAATCATGAATCCCTTAATAACACGATGAAAGATGTGCCCATTGTAGTAACCGTTTTTGGTATGTACGCAAAAGTTTTCCACCGTTTTCGGACACTCTTTACCGAAGAGCCGCATATGGATGTCACCCATCGTCGTGTGAATAACGGCGTGATCGTAAAGTTTTTGGGAACCTGGTAAAAAATTGGAGGGAGCGAATTAACTAAAATATTACTAGAATGAATTTGGTTTGTATTCTGATTAGTTCAGTAGTATACCTTCTCCTTAGATTTATGAATGCAAGGTAAAATTTAAACGATCATAGATTAGACCAATGAATGATTTTTTTTTAATAATGAGCTATAGAAATGTCCTACCTTGTCCTTCTGTAACGGAGATGATATCCTCCTTTGACGGTTTCTCGTTGAACACATCGCGGTCGTCATCCTGGAGATCAGAAGGCAACCTTCGACTGTAGAGATAGAAGCGTTGTTTTCTATTGTATAAAAAATAAAAATTAAGTAAGTAAACATTGATTTTAATCGATAGAAGACCAAGCAATTCTGCAATTAGTCTTGTGCCCCGCCATCAGCGTTGCGACAAATGAAAAAAATATGGGACACCTCTGATTTTTGGTGTGATTTTGATGATAAAAAAGCGCAAAATGTGCCTGAAAGGAAATCTTCTCACGAACGAGTGTGTGGGGATCGAGAGGTGGAAGCAGTACTATGACGAGCACCTTAAAGTGGACCCTACACGATTGCTTTTATTGACAATAATCGTATTGTCAATACTTTATTTATTTACGCCAATACATCGAGATTGACAATATTTCTGAATTCACATCATCAATATTATTGTCAATAATTCTCCTTCGCGTCAAAATATATTGAAACGTGTGGGGTTCGCTTAGCGACGATACTGCAGAGTGCGAAAGTAACAGATCTAGGATCACGCGCAGTAGACGACAAGTTCAAGACCCCAGACCTCCAGAAAGTCGAGGAGAAGATCAATCGGTTGAGAACCACTAAAGGCAGTGGTGACCAACTACCAAGCGAGGTAATAAAAAAGTGTTGAAACATTAACTAGAAATTTGCGGTGGATAATTGCCAAGATTTGACCTAATAAAAATAACCATAAAAGAGAGCTTAACGACGTGTTCGGGGTATTATCCAAACCATTTGTGGGATAGTTTACCCATCCGGGATACAGTTCGTTTATGGTATTTGTTTATTAGGGTGGGAGGAGGAGCTATCACCGGTTGACTGGATGGAAGGTATCGTGTGCTGGATTGCGCGGCAACTACCGTATGATTGCACTGTTGAGCGTCGCTTACAAGGTTCTCTCCCAAATTCTATACCGCCGCCTGTCACCACTTGCAATGTGGGCAATGTGGGCTATGCCAGGTGTGATTCATGCACTGAGGAAACTAGAATTACGATTTTCATAATATGTTTTCGTTCGTATGAAACGCTCGTATGATTTGTTCAAAACAAAACAATATGGCGTACGAGCCGAAATTACTGGCGTATGTTAAAGTTCCGGCGGAAACTTTTTTAGGGATTGTTTTGTTTGTTTATTGTGCTTTTTCTTTTGCTGGAAACAAGAGTTTAAACAAGGTAATGCATCACTTATTAGTGCCGTTTCTAAATGTAGATGTATCAATGTACGTACTTTTCTAATACTTAATAAAAGGGATGGTAACACTTTGTCATACGACTCCAACCCCTGCAATTTTAACAAGCACTTGATATAATTTTCTAAACAAATTCCGCATGCACGACCAATGAAAACACCTCAAAATTGAGTAAAAATTACTCATATTTGAGTTCAGGTTACTCAAATTCGCGAAAACGTAGGTCGCTCATAGAATGAGTAAATTTTCGGACGCTTTTCCGAGGAAAACTTCTCGAATATGAGGAAAACTTCTCGAATATGAGGAAAACTGATTGGTTTTAGTCTGCCTACTAGTACACTTCTAACCTGTGTAGAATTTTCTTAAAATTTTCCCTATATTCGAAGTTTTCCCCGGGAAAGGGTCGGTAAATTTACTCATACTATGAGTGATCTACTGCCGTTATACGCATAACTGTCCCATGTTCTATGCAATTCTTATGCACAGTGGGACTCTTATGCGTATAATGGCAGTCTAAGTTTGAGCGATTTTGAGTAATCTGAACTCAAATGTGGGTAGCATTTTTTGTCCATGTGCGATTGGTTTGGAAAGTTTTTTTTTTCTAAATCATAAAAAATAAACTCACGTTTATCGTTAAGCATGTCTTTCATCTTACAGCTCCAAAACCCAACAGAATGCGTTATAAGTAAAATAGTAATTATTTCCAAAAGTAAAAATGTATAATAATTCATGTCGGGCGCAATGTGCCGCTCGAATTACGGTGTATGAAATTAGGCGTGAACCTACAACTCCACACTGGACGAAAAAACAACGGTATAGCCTAAATGCAGGCTTCCTAGGAATGAATTCATCACACAAATTTTGCCCCACAGCTATTAATTTCAATTGAAACTCAGTTTACCGTTCGATGTTACTGTTCCTGTTTACCGTTTTGATTTTATCAATCAATATAAAAATACCGATTTATACCTAACAAACAAATCAGTTGCTACAATTACTTTTTCTTAGACTTTTTTGACAGATTAACACTAATATTTTGGGTATTTTCTATGGTACCTAACTATGTAATCTTCATTTACGCATTCAATTTCGCATATTTGTTTTCAAAAACTCTAGTAACGTATCCTGGAAGATTAAGTAAAACCGGTAGCGGAGCATAATCTACAACATTCCGCGTTCTCACTCTACGCGGTTCTTTTCAGCTTTCTACAAGTGTGCCGATCATCAAAAAGAACAACTGATTACATTCTTCCCTTAAAAACTATTCCACCTATAATATACATCTACTCCCTCTTAGTATGTTTTTACTACGACAAGACAACCCTAATAAACGGGTACTACACACTTAAAATTTTTCGCCGAGATTCCAACAGCCGAGCAGTTCAGCAATTTAATTTGCTGAGATTCAGTAAAACAATTGCCGAGACTCAGCTAACAAATAACTTTTTGCTGAGATATCAGCTAACAATAAGATATTTTGCAGATATATCAGCAAAAGTAAATGCCGAGGTAATCGGCTGTTGGAGATTTTACCGAGCTAGATTAAGTGTGTATACAGTAACGATATCATATATGGTACGACCATGCCATATAAAGTTAATTATATCGCGAATTGGTGGTTAGGCGCGTCTTATGGTTATTGTTTATGCGAAAAGACATCTGGCTTCATTTTATTTTTCTTCGAAGGTTCTTCATCCGCTCATGCACTCCCTGTTGAACATTATCCGTGCTTAATCAATACAAACAGTTCTGACACATTGTTAAAAATAGTAAATTTGTACACATTTAAAACAATAAAGCATCCTAAACTTGAAAATCAATCCAAATCTATACCCCAGTTGTCTCCCCCTAGGTCTTTACTTACTTGTAAGCTGTACAAAAAAGCGTTGGATCGTTTGCTGCTGACTGGAGGGTAGGATTTTCCGAAGCCTCATGTTCTAACGTTATTGCCGCCTTAGAATTTTTTACACGTCCCTGAGAATGTAATTCAACAGAAATGTTAATATTAGCGGTACGTATATAATAGGCTCAACCAAGCATGCAAATAATTTACGAATTCATTTACATTCACTTACCTCTAACTTTTGTCATAAACAGATTTCAGTGGGATGATGTATGAAGCCTTTGTAGATTTTGATATTAGCTACAACTTTTATGAAAGTTTAGTGCATGTCTTATTACTCCATCACTATTGAGAAATGATGAAGTATTCGATTTTTGTAACAGTTGTCATTCTCGCATTTATCGCAAGGATCCAACTCTAATTGAAAGGTTCCGCTATTTATACCATTCGGAGTGTTGAAACACCCCCCAAAGGCGCGCCCCTTTGTCAGTCAAAATTGGATTCCTTAGCAACAAAATAAAGGAATGACATTGATAATGACCATGCATCAGAACCTTAGTCTTAACCATTTCAAACTAGGGAACAGCGAATAGAAGATTAGGAATCACATAGATGAAGACTAACTCATTTTTTCCTTGTTTCAAGATCATCTTCGGTGGACAAAGCCGAGTCTTGTCACTATCAACAAGGCTTAAAAAGTAACAAGGACTAATATGTGTTCCTTTGATTACTGAAAAATCCTGTTCCCCTAGTTTGAAGTAGTCAGGACTAGGAATCGGTGGTAGTCCCGTGACGTACCACGAAAAGGTGATCATCCCACGTTACGGGGCTGTATCTCTTATGCATGATGAACCAGAGCGAACAGAACCCACTATTGTTTTTCAGTGAATGTAAATACATTCACTGAAAAATAATAACAAACTCCGCCCGCTCTAGTTTTTCATGTATAAGAGGTACAGATTTAAGTTATTGACAAAAGTTGCAGCTAATATTAAAACCTACAAAAGCTTCATACATCATTTCACGGAAGTCTGTTGATGGAAGAAGTTAGAGGCAAATTAATGTAAATAAATGCACGAAATTAATGTAAATGATTTGCCATGCCTAGGATCAACCCTAAATTACCTGAAACAGCGCCAAATTGAGCGGTCTTAAGTTATCGTTCTTGCCAATAATTTTGACACATTTGTTTGTTTCGATATTGACCAGCTTAATTCCCAGCATAGTAGGATACATAACGAAATTGCCGCTGTAATCAAAGGCAATGTTTATCAAATTGAAAGAGTCTGACTTCTCCAGATCTCGCTCATTGGCCATCCTGAAAAATTTGTTTGCATTAGAGATAGTTATTTCTGATTGGATCTTTCTACTGCTATTTCGGATCGTGGCAATATCTGTTACCTTCGGCCAAACTCCATATTTGACAAAGCCTGAGACAACTGTTGGCTCTCACTGTACCGCGCTAAACTTTCGTCGTACACTCGAAGCAACTTTCCAGTCAGAAGACCGAAAACGCGCACCTTCCTGTCTGTCGAAACGGTAGCAAACTTTTTCCCATCCTGTGAAAACGCCAGAGATGTGACTATCGTCTTATTCTTGGCAAACTCGTACAAACCTACAATTAAATATAGCATTGGGGTCATAACTAATTACATTTTGAAATAATTAATAACATACTCGTATCCAACTTGGACTCAAAACTAACAAGCTTCGAAGGGAATTTGAAATCACTTCGTGCCCCCAACCAGTACTCCAGTATTCCTGCTTTGTCGATGGATACGGTCAGCTCAAACACAGGATTGTATTTGATCAAAACCACCGGCTTGGTGTGCAACTTATCGAGAACGTGTAAAGGAATGTTGCTTCCTTTTCCATCATAAACGTTGATCTTGTTGGAATCTTGATCCGCCCTGCAAAAAATATTCCCGTTAATCAGAAACCTATCCAACTATTGTGACATATGTACATACACTGCCAAGTACGCGATGGCATCGCCGGTGTTGTGAATCCACTCCGCACGGTACGGAACGTAATCCAGCTTGATCATGTTGATCATGTCAAAATTGACCACATCAAACACTTTCACATTCTTATCCACCGAAGCGGTACACAAGTACGTTCCGGTGGTATTGGCTGCCAGTGCGTTAATGGGGGCCAGGTGACTGCGGAAGTGCTTAACAAACTCGACCCCTTGTTCCATTTTCTTCCAGAATTTCACATGTCCATCCAAACTCACAGTCACAATGAAGTCGGTTTTGGTCACCACCAGATGCGTGATAGTGTCCCGATGCATAAACGACTTTTCGTAACACTCCGAGCTCGGTAGATTATCCAGATACAGTTTCTCGTATTGCAATACTACGGATAATAATTAGGCTTGTTAGTTATAGACGGTATTAATTTTCAATCCTGAAAAACGTAGACATACCTTTTCTCTTTTTAGGGGGAGCAGCAGCCGATGGTAAGGGGCCAATCCATTCGTCATCTTCTTCGGAATCAGCACCATTTTGAGGTCGTTTACCGGACGATTCTTCTGTATTGCTCATTTTAGTTGGCTAAACAGAGAATCCGGCAGAAATCGCTGGAAAATTTATTTATCACAATAATATTCAACGCCATAGAAAGCAAAACAAAACAACGTGATGTGACAGCGGAGGTCTATCACGCTCATTCATTTTTACCCTAAAGTGAGTTACCACGTGATATACGCTGTCTTGCAATGAGCACTCATACATCTAGTTTTCACTGGAAATCCTATGTATGAGTGCTCATTGCAAGACAGCCTATATTACGTGATACACACAAAAAACGGAAATTGTATTAGTAAAAATATTGTACTTTTAATTTAAAAGTTTTCAAAAATTTGTTATTCTAACTATGAAAATGTTTAATATGCCAAGGTTTTTTTCAAACCAAAAGTAAATGTTTTGATTTTAACTTGTAGTTTTAAATGTGCATATTTTCAAATCGAATATTGTTGAACTGTCAAAACACCTTCTTCGTGGAGAGATTTCTACTCATTCCTGGGTAGGTTAATAATAACGTGAGTGTAGAAAAAGCAGGTGGTGAAAATGGCAAAATTTTCAGCTATTTGTTAATAAGGGATTAGGTATTATCGCGAAAAGTGTCCCGATCCGGACTTTTATTGCTCGGAAAAAGATGTCCGCATACATCCGAACTCGTGTGGTATAAAAAGAGGTATGGAATCCTTTGCCGAGCAATAGAATGCTGTCGAAAAAGTTGAATCAGAAGTAAGAAACCATTAGGTGAAAGCTAAAGAGCCTGAATTTATAAAGAGACGACATCTTATCCATTTGACAGGTCTTCTGCTCGATTGGAATGACTTTTCATATGACTTTGACAGACAATCGATTGTTCCAATTTTGACATGTCGCCTCTTTATAAATTTAGGCTCTTTAGTGAAAGCCATTCGATGTAGCGACTGGGAATTTTGATACAGTCGCTCAACCCAGGATTCCAGGAGTACCAGGAAAATCATTTCTTAGTCGAGGGACATTGCCACCGGCTGGCCACTTTCTTGCCCTGAACTGAAAGTGGTGGCACAACCGAGTCTGGAGCAGCCACGAATAGGAACTGATGGCGACCACAGGGAATCATTCCGTTTAATGATTATGGTACGTATAATCAACTTATTTATACTTAAATAACAATATTTGCCCTATAATGACTACTTTCTAACTGTTCTTTCATAGTGTTTTCATCCTGAAACCTGGTTATTGTCGCCGGTTCTTGATGACATAGAAGTTTGTACTCTGGTGCATGTGATTGAATCGATCCACGATCTCGAACCGGAGTTTTCATCGCTTGTACCTACACACTCTGAGTTCGGAGATTCTAAACAGTTTGTTCACAAAAACGAGAAATATTTAATAATAAAGATCCTTTCGGTTTTTCCTTTCGAATAATAAAAACTTTAAATTTTATATTCAATAGAATTTAAAATGAAAACTTTTATATTTAAATTGAAAATTTTTTCTTCATTTGGTAATTAAAATGACACATGTTATTTCAACTATACCAGACTTTTGACCTGAAGTTTTGATTTGGAATAAAAAGTTCTTCGCTCTTAATTTCAACACTGCCAAACTTTTCATTTGACAGTAGTACAATTTATTTTGAAATTTTTAACTTTTAAAAGTAATGATCGGGAAACTTTTGATTTGACAGTTGGTTGACTTTCATTTTGAAAACTAACAGCTTTCTACCAAAAAGAACCAACGCAAACTTTCAATTTCACCCATGGTTTTATTAATTTTAGCAACGAATTTTCTTTGTGTGTATGGGCTGTAATGTGAACGGGGTATTAGCTGTAGCAATGCAAAGAGAAATTCGATGAAGAGAATCGATCATCGCGTATACGCCCTTATGAATGCTCACTGTCGAATTTTCAGTAAACCGACCGAGCATTAAATTCAAATTTTGACTATGGCAAAAATAATTACTTACTCGTGGGTATTTTCTACTCAAAATTAAATTCAATTGACTCAAATTCGAGAATATCTCATATCAAGCTGAATATTGCATTAGGTCCAAGGTAACATTGATCGATTCTCTTCATCGACTTTCTCTTTCCGTTAATAACTTGAGCACATAACCGTTTGTTGATGTGTTTGTCATATTAGGTTCTACATAAAAGCTATCTTTATCGATATGTGCGCTGAAAATACCTGGGAATGTCTTTACATGGCTATGGGGATACCAAGAAAAAGTCGAATAAGAGAACCTGTCAATGTTACTTAGGACCTAATGCAATGGTTAGCTTGATATACTCACTAGAAACCTATAGTAGCTTATTGAACGATATATCAACAGTGAGCATGCATAAGGGCCTATACGCGATGATCGATTCTCTTCATCGATTTTCTCTTTGCATTGCTACAGCTAAGCGCAACAATTTTGTAGAATTTATTCAATGTAGAGTTGTAACAGGTTGCATTGGCTATCAAAAGCAACAGCAAACGCACCGACAAACGTTAAATCTAGCGAGTTATTCACAAAAGAGAAAATCGATGAAGAGAATCGATCATCGCGTATACGCCCTTATGAATGCTCACTGTCGATATAGTCATGAGAAAGTCGAATCTCTCGTTCCGTTTTTGACAACAACAAAAAGTTAGAGTGGGATGCAAAACTCAAAATTCAGGGTGCCAGTGGTGGCGGGGGGGGACACCCCTCACCATCCCTCTCCAAAGGGGGAGTTTGGTAAAGAGAGATGATAAAACCGATTTGTACCTTCCTAAAAGTTGTCCTAGCTCGCTGTCTACTCCTCTATATGCAATTTTCACACTGCCGTACTCTAAACACAGACAAACAGACATAACACATTGAATATTTCTCACTGTAAAACATCGTCGCTAAAACATTACCGCCATCTGTTGAGTACACTGTGGTAGGCACTACGCTGAACAGATGGGGGTAAAATTAATTTACTTTAATTTCGTGTGAAGTCGTCAAAGTGCATTTGGCAACACTGGGAGTCGACACACACGACATAACTGGACGATTCATACGCGCCGAGAGCAGTTGAGTATGAGCTTCGGAAAGCTCCGAATACACAAATGTGATTCGTGTCATGGAAAACGAAGATCGGTTTCGAGACTACATCAGACATCAGACGAGGGAGATAGAACAAATGATTGTTATGATGCTCTGGGATAGAAGAGTGCAAAAGGATGGATGACTGATTCATCGAGCTGGTTCAGGCTGGCTAGTTGCTCGTCTCGCATTCTTGTGTCTAATTTCAAAGCGGATGGACGTAGCTGATCAACGCGGGATGGTTTGGCTGGCGTCGTTCCAGTGACAAAAGATCGAGGCTTGCAACCTCGATCTGAGTTCACGACAGTGTGTAAACGTCAAACGCAAGACTATGCGCGCCACAGGTGGCGGTACTACCAACTGTAGTAGATTTGGGCGATGAAAATAAAATAATGAAATAATTATTCAAAATAATGTAATAATATTTCTCAGTGTATGCTATTACCAACCCGCTCTATAAAGAACGCACTGCTTTCATGCTGTCAGTCAGTATAGAATCGCTATCCCTTACCGGAAGAAAGCTACCGATCGTATAATTGAAGGGGAATGATCGGGAAAAGAGCTCGGGTATGGTTATTGCTTAATACGAGCAACGAGTATTCGGGATTTGTCAGCGCTTGTTGGTTGAGAGGGAAATGCGGAAACCCGATCATGACAATCAGCGGTTGTGGACTTGGTTCACGAGAGAGCTTCTCAAGCAAGGTAGCGAAAGCGAGAGTGTATGACACTCTACGATTCATTGAAGCAAGAAAGGTATACCACTTCAGTCTGTTATTTGAAATTAGCATCTTCAACTAAGTTAATTCGAACTTTCTACATATCATCAATCACATAATAAGTTTAAAGAGATCTACCTTTTTGCTTGTTGATATGAGGTGTAAAGTAAAGCTGGCGATTGAATTGCTCCAGATATTGAGATCATTCGAACGTCTCCCGACCCTACACAATAGTTGATTGGCATCTTGCCTAATGTTCCTCTTCCGCCAGGTCCAAAATTTCCTTCTGCTGTAAAATCCGGACATCCTCTCTGATCTGCAATGGCTCCTGTTTGGTTTCGAACTAGTTGGTTTCTGAAGATGCTGCAATGCGAGCGTGTATGTAAACAGGTGAGGCAAAATGAAAGCCGAGGGGTTTCTACCAAGCCAAAAGTACACAAAAGTAAGTTCTTTTCACTCATCTCGGCACTATAGTGCAGGAACCCAAAAGTAGGTAAAGCGGGTCAAAGTAGTTTTCATTTACTTGTGTGCAATTCGTATGGAATTTTCCACTAGCTTTATACCCAAAAGTAAGTCACTTGTACCCAAATGTAGGTAAACATGATTATACGCAAATTTGGGTTCCCACACTTTACTACCTCTGTTGGGTGGTTTTGCACCTCCGTTTTTGACATCATTAAAAGCACGCTAACTTGAAAGTACACATTAATGGTTGAAAAAGACCCATTTTGAAGAAAAGTGGCTTAACTCATTAAATGAGTAAATTTTTTACCCATTAATGAGTATCTGTTACCCATTAATGAGTAATTGTTAATCATTAATGGGTAACAGATACTCATTAATGGGTAAAATTGTTTAATCATTAATGAGTTAAGCCACTTTTCTTCAAAATGGGTCTTTTTTTAATCATTAATGAGTACTTTCAAGTTAGCGTGAGGAGAAAAGGAGACAAACTAGTCAAAAGTAGGTAAAAGTAGGTAAACTTGAAGGGTAATTTTTTCTTACCGTGCAGAATAGATCAGACATGAACAGCTGTTACTAATTCATAACTTTTGCATGTGGGTTCATGGCTTAGCTAAATATTTTCCGCGAACACAGAGCCAGATGTTAGTAGTGTGCTGAATTATTTTGATTATACTACTTAGCCTTAAAATAAATGTACTACGCCGTGGCTATGAAATGAAAGAACAGAATATGTAATACCTTGTAATACCATCACTATGGTCTTGGTCTCCCGTGCAACCATTCAGCATGACATTAAGCTTTCTCATATTCGGCACGGTGACCCGCATAAATGCGAACCATAACTTAACAATCCATTATTTGTAAGGTCCACTTCCAAAAAACCATAAAACATACGGTTGAATTTTTATCATACAAACGTTCATGTAAAGTTCCATAAGCATTTTATTTAAAGTTTAGCCAGGATTATACACAATTTTTACCCATTTTCGGTAAGGTCAAATTATGGTTCGCGTTTATGCGGGGAGTGGAAGCTTGAAAATTTATTTCAGAAGAAAATAAATTCTAGGTGTTAGCTGAAGGCCGACTATCTACACCAATAAAATTCCACACATTTTAATTAACGAATTTCCATGTGAAATTCCACATGATTTTCACATAAACAGAATCCATCCAGAAGCACACATTAAATTTATGAGTCAAATGAATAGTATGTCTTACACATGGTTTTTAAGTGTACACATATTGTCCGACACATGGATATCATTTGTTTTTTTTTTCCTTGATTTGTTTTCCGTGCTGAGCATCAATGTTACCGAGTGATCAGAGATGTTATGCCTCAGAACATCCCGGCGGCGCCGACTGGGATTGAACCCAGGCCTGCTGGGTTTGAGGTAATCACGCTTAACATTACACCACCGGCGCCGCTAGTCATCATTTGTTGATCACATTGCAAAAATTCATGTGTGAGACACATAAAAACAATATTTGAAATGTTATTAGTGTATATTTAGCGATCATTTGATTCATATTTGACTCAAAATCATTCAGAACTTCTTTTTCATCAACGCCGTATTCGGATGCTTTTTAAAATGGCTCTCGAACGATCCTTTGACGTAGCTCTGCACAAAGTCCAGCTCTTTGGCAGTGGCTTCAAGCAAGCGGTTAGTTTGTGTTTGGTCATGGCGCTTGCAACGTTCTCGTTCGATTGTTGCCGACTTGATCTGTTCCTTGAGCGTTTCGTGATACTTTCTTGCAGCAGTTTGCATCCGGTAGCCCGCTTCAATACTATTCTGGCGATGTTTTTCAAACAGTTGTCGCTCACGGGCACCTTCCATTGTTTTCTCTTCTTCCTGCTGCCGGCGAAGGGCTTCCATTTCCGCAATCTGTTTCCTTTGGCCCTCATAGACACACTGTAAAGTGAATTAAAGGATGAAATAGATACGAAAAGTTGTATCAAGAGACTTGATAAAAAAAATGCTTACATCTGCTAATCCCCAACGCTTCTGAAGAATTTTATTGCAATTTTCGATCGCTGCTTTGTCATATTGTTCCCGTATATCATTGATGAGCTAATGGGATGGATAAACCGTAACTCGGTTTTAAAATAAACAAATAACAAACATCGTAGCACCTACCTTATCCATCTTGGCTTCATCAATCGAACGCTTCTTCTCTACGTGCTTCGAATATTGGTAATACTGATTGATTTGCTTCTTCAAAATTTCTTTCTCTGCTTCACGAGCTGCCTTCTCTCGAGCCAGCTCACGATGCATGCCTTCATTCAATGCTTTCACTACTTCTCGTTCCTGCTCGTCTCGTTTCTTCTGCAACATGGCATTTGTGGCCATCTGTTCCTTAAGTTTCTCTGCCAAGTCACTCTTCTTCATCTGAATCAGTTTATGATCGTGCTCAGGGAAGGGCAGCGACGTACATTGGGCTTCCTGTAGTTCAACCTTCTCCTTTTCCGCTCTCAGTGTGCGTTCCTTCATTTGATCCTTGATATCGAGCAAAGTCTGGCTTTCCATTGAATTTCTCTTTCGTTTCTCGGTCAGTTCACGATCGAGCTACATTGACCGATTGATTATGCTTATGGTAGTATATAATTTGTCAGCTTATTACCTGCAGTTTATAATTCCTTACATGAACTTCCTTCCAGAGCCGTTCTTCGTCCAGTTTAGACTGTTTGAGTTTCACCTTTTCCCCGATTTGTGCCAACTGACATCGTTTCGATTCCTCGTGGTATTTCTGTTGGACTATGGCTCGGATTTCATCACAATTGTTGCTGCAAATAAGTAAAATTCAAAAACCGTCATGGGCAGGCTTACAGAGCAGAAAAGAAGGCTTACAGTTTAAGTTGAATCATTTTGTTTCTGATAAACTCTTCCCTTTGGCGTTCCTTGTCCTGCTTGATCGCCAATAGAGCATTTTCCTTAGCCTTCAATCGTTCAACCTCCTGCTCACGGAGTTTTTCCAAAAGTTCCTTTTGTTGTTGCATTTCTTCGGTTTGTAGCAGTGCTTTTAATCTGAAATTTTTTTTTTAAACGTATTGTATTTGGCGTTTGAATTTTCTATGTATACATCTAAAAGAGACCTTTTCCGCTTTTCCTGCATATACTGTTCATAGGCTTGGTCTGCATTTACCATCTGAAAACGAGGTAGAATTCAATCGTTGATTATGGTTGGTCTCTAGAAAGATGTTTATTATTTACCAATTTCTGGACTTCATTTTTAATATTGATTTCCGGATAAAATATATTCATCTCTTCCAAATCCTTCGCACTTCGATAATAATAAAATAAAATAAATTGAACTTCAATTATCAATATAAATGTCGAAAACACGATGTGTTTGCCCTCGTTGTCATGCTTGCCTTTCTACCGGGTGTTGTTCCGGTTACCATAACAGCCAAATTTCCTTGCGCTCTGTCTAATTTCAATTTTGATTTGAAAGTGGCCTCTGCAGCAAAAATATCGATTATCAGTTTCGGTCACAAGCAAAGGGACCAATTCCACACCTATTTATCTTGACACCTGTCCGAGAATGTCACTCTCTCATGATTCCTTCAAAAACTGAACAACGAACGACATCATCAGTGCAAGTTCATCAATAAAGAAGCACATCATAGAAGTATTTTCGCGAGTAATGAAATTCGTAATCGTAATGAAATCGTAGTGAAATTCTTCAGAATACATTTTGTTTTGTTATTGGATAATGAAGTCCTGCATCTAGCGAAACCAATGTTCCTTGTTCTGGGAATCATAGTTCAGGAAAAATGAAGATTGTTCGGAGTGTGGTATTCTCGCAGCGGTACCAAGAAAACGAAAAAGATTCAGAAGTGGCTACTCTTGATGAGATACGACGACGAGTGTGACGTCTGCTACTTCGTAAGACGTCATTGATGTCCCAGGTCCGGAGGGAGAGGCAAGGAGAGAAGACAGTAAAAGATCGTCCAGATCGAATAGTGCAGTACAGAAGAGTGATACACAGACGAATATTAACGCGTTTCACAAGTTTGCCATATTAGATGAGCATATTTTGCAAGAAGTTACTACCTGCCATTCAGTGCCCGGGAGAAAAACAGCGAATATTGCTAGAATAGTCTCGCCTCTAGGTTACTTCTTCGGTCAGTAGATCATTATTATCCATTTGCGTGTCTGTCTAGGTACCAGTCCGTAAGCCGATATAGTCGTCGTCGACGTTGTAGAAGAAGAGTGAGGAGGAAGCAAAATAGTGTACAACTCTGAAACTGTGTTGAGTAAAATTATCTAACTATATACACACAAGGCACGGCACGGCGCATACATAATAAGCAATTCATAAGCATTCACAATCAAAACCGATCCAACGCAACACACCACCGATGAATACGACGCTTGACGATAGCAGTACGGAATGGTCCACTCTGCACTGCAGCAAGGATGCATTGACCGACTTTTTCGGTTGGTTCCTGCAGGGCATCCTGGCCACGTTGGCCTTCACGTGTCTGATCGGTAAGTTGGATGGCCAATACATACCTAATTAGTACATATGTGGATGCGACAGTGGCCCAGTTCGGGACAGTGCTTGCAAAATCCATGCCTAGATTCAGGCAGGTGCCACAAACTAGGAACTATAAATAATAATTAAAAATAGTATAAAAGCTAAAGTTGAAAAGACACATTCTGTGTCACTTGCAATTCAAACAAATACCTATAAGAAATAAAGATCATTTAAGTAAAAAAAAGTCAGGCAGGTACTTCTCTATTGACATTTCCGATTAGCTGCTTCTAAACCTGTTACACATTTCGCCAACGTATCTTCAAAATAGTCCCTTAAGTGCTACATTCAATTAGCATTAATTAAGCTATCAGAGATGACGCACAAATTCAGTGTATTCCAATAGGTAGTTATCATAAAAATTTCAAGACGGATGTTTGAATTTAACGATATTGGAATTATTTAATCTACCTCGAGTGTTAACTGTGTGAGTGACAAAGAAGGTGTTACGGATCTATTGACCCGGAGTTGATAATACTGTGAGTAAGGTTTTCTTGATAAAATCTGTGTTTTCATCTTCTACTTTGGATTATATTCTTAGTATTTTGTATTTTCATAATTATTTAAAGTGATTTTACCAACAGTTACAGTTTTGTCGTCCAGTTAAGTTCTGTGTGGAACGTTTAGCTATCAGAGTTCCTGTTGTTCAAAGTTTATGATCCTAAATTTAGCTCCCACCAAATTCAAATTAGTAAGAATGTATTATGTAGAGTCCTTGAAGAAGTCCCAAACGAACCGATGCGATGTGCAAAAATAAAATACATAGTTCAAGCTGAACATTACATTAGGTCCTAAGTAACATTGATCGATTCTCTTCGTTGACTTTCTCTTTCGTTAATAAATTAGCACATAACTGTTTCTTGTTGTATTTGTCGTATTAGATGCCAGATAAAAATTTCTTTTATCGATCTGTGAGCGGACAAAACACCGGGGAATGTCTTTAATTGGCCGTGGGGATACAAAAAGAAGGTCGACAAAGAGAATCTGTCAATATTACTTTGGACATAATGCAATGTTCAGCATGATTTTAATTTGATCAAGATTAAAAATAGGGTGGTCCAAACTAACACTTTGCCTGGAATCCTGGGGACTCACTCTCCAAATGATAGCGAACACACTTAAATTTATTCGCCGAGATTTCAACAGCCGAGTAGTTCTGCAAATTATTTTGCTGAGATTCTGTAAAATAATTGCCGAGACTCAGCTAACAAATAACATTTTGCTTAGATATCAACTAACAAACATATTTTGCAAAAATATCAGCATAGTAAATGCCGAAGTAATCGGCTGTTGGAGATTTTACCGAGCTAGATTAAGTGTGAAGGATGATACAAAAAAAAACTTTTGCCTGCTTATTTTTTTCATGAATTTTATTTTTTTTTTTTTTTTTCATTTGGTTTGTTTTTTCCGTCGATCTTGTTTTCCGTGCTGAGCACCAATGCTACCGACGTGCCAGGAAGGCAGCTCCCACACCTGGACCCTACCTATCGACCCATCAACTCATGAACCGGGGACCAACGGCTTTACTTCCCATCCGAAGGAAGGCGTGATCAGAGATGTTATGCCTCAGAACATCCCGGCGGCGCCGACTGGGATTGAACCCAGGCCTGCTGGGGTGAGAGGATGAATTTTATTGTAATTATCAGAATTTATAATTTCTAGGTGCATGACATTCAATCACAGACAAACAGACGTAGCTCCATAAATAAATTTTCCTTAAATATATCGAAAAAAGCTTGCTTGCCAAGTCTTAATGTTTTATACAAGTACCAATGGAGACGCAAGGTAGTCTAGTCCGAGAGGCACACAATATAAAGAACCGGTGCGTTGAAGTTAAAATGAAATCAAAAGTACTTAAAGTAATTAATGCGTTTTGAAGTAGTACTGACGGTTATTAAAATTATCTATCCGTAATTAATGTAATTAAAAGTATTGAAAATGTAATTACGAAATTTCAACTGTAATTAATAGAGTTAAAAAGTAGTTTTTTTTTTCAACTCTTTATTTGTTTCAAATTCAAAATAAATTACATTTCATTTTAACCCAGGTGCTCCAGTTACTACAGTAACTTACCAGTCTTAATTGTTATGATATAGATTAAAAAGTAGTTAATGTTCTACATTGTGTAATTAATGTAATTAAAGCAGTAGTTAATGGAATTAATTTAATTACAGCCGTTGCCTGCGTTGGAGTTAAATGTTATTGCGTGTCCCTAGGTCAAGTCGTATTGGAGTAATGAGCAAAATTTTAAACATGATAATTTCAAAAAATTGTTAGCTCAAAAACGAAGAAAAATACATTGCTGATTTTTTGATATGTTGTGTAAAAAAAGCCTAAATTTTCAAAGAAAAATATAAAAACGTGTTACGCCCATTGTCTACAAGCTATAAAAACCATAAAAAAATACAATCAAAGTTCTTCTATACAAAACTCCAATTTTCAAAACTTTTTATATATTTTTTTAAGTATTTTTAATAACCTTTCATTTGATATTTTGATATATAGGGGAAATGGATGTAATGTCGGCCTAAATGCGCCTAATTTGGGCCCATACATAAATTCAGCAATCGACTAAATTTTTAATAGCGACCAAAATATCCATTAGTACCGTCCCAATGACGCGTTGATCTAGATAAAATTGATTAATAGTAGATTTTTAGCCATGGGCCCAATCTTAGATCCATAAGCCAACATTATAACATTTCGAAAGGGCGAAATTGTTTTTAAAAACAATGACTTTAACCTCCACTTCTTGCGAATAATAGCTGAAACATGCAAAGTAACGACTACAACAAATAGAGGAATATTTCCTCCACTAGCTTGCATCGTTAATTTGCAGGAGTGCGTTTTTATTCACGAGAAATCAGCGGTTAAAGTCATTGTTTATAAAAAACAGTTTCGCCCCAATGAAATGTTGGCACCGATATAAAGTATCTACCGCACACTGATTTTGATACTTTGCATTTTGGTTGGTTCACCCTGAAACTGGTGCAATGGGGCAAAGGGCTCATTGAGAATAAAGATATGTCGCATCGTGCCATCGGAAAAAAAAATTAGGAATCGCGAATTCCACGGTGTATGGTATCATAAAACGGTTCGAAGAACGTCTGAATGTAGATAGGAAGCGAAGATCTGGAAAAAAAAGCCGTCAGGTCAACGAGAACGATCACAAACGCGTGGTTGGGGCCTTTAAACCGAAACCGAACACCTCAGTTCGAGATGTGACTAAAAAGTTGCATGTGAGCAATACTTTCGTGCAAAATACCAAAACTCGAGCTGGACTACGTACGTTTAAGGTTCAGAAGTCCCCAAACCGTGACGAGAAACAGAATACGGTCGCAAAACGTCGTGCCCGGAAGTTGTACGACCAGAAGTTAACGAAACCACACTGCTACGTAATGGATGACGAGACATATGTGAATGCGGACTTCAACCAGATTCTAGGAAACCTGTATGTGACTGCCAAGGATTTGTGTGATGTTCCCGAGAACCTGCGGACACAGAAGATATCGAAGTTCGCCAAGAAGTTTTTAATTTGTCAAAGCGGCTTGTACTTGCAGAAAGCGGAGTACACCTTTCGTTATCGCAAGCACCATAAATGGACAGGTGTATTTGGACGAGTGTCTCCAAAAGCGGCTTCTCCCTTTCCTGAAGGCTCACGACGGCCCGACGATCTTCTGGCTGGATTTGGCATCATGCCACTACATGAAGTGCCGAAAGATCTGAACACCCCAAACACTCCAGAACTGCGCCCAATAAAAAAATACTGGGCCATTATGAAGGAGCACCTTCTAAAACGACCTAAAGAGGTGAAGAATGTAGAAGAAATGAAGAAAGCATGGGTTAATATGCAAAAAACTGTCGATTCTGAGGTCGTGCAGAACCTTATAGCTAGGGTTAAGGCCAAGGTTCGCGCATTCGGATATGAGGGCGAAATAAGTTAAATTAATGATGCCAAAACTAACTTTAATTGTGTCTTTTTACTCCCTGAAAATTTGGTGATAATCGGATAAAATCCCAATAATATTTTGAGAATGAATTTTGTGTGTGCGGATTTTAAACGGTACACCCTTTAGGTAAATTAGTTCGTCATTACTAGGCACGACGTACGATATCAAGTCATATTTTCTCAACATGTTTTAAAAAGTTCGTCCAGTGTTATGTTTTTTTCCTATTAGATATTTCAAATACTGGCACGCAAAATTTCAAAGAAATTCATCGAGTGTTGATTTTTTTTAATAAACATTGAAATAAATAACTGCGTCAAATATGGTGCCTCCACGGTTCATGATCTCGATTACGATGAGAAACGGCCGCGGTGATAATAGTATACATCCTTTTCTCACTCCACACACTTAAAAAATTTCGTCGAGATTCCAACAGCCGAGTAATTCTGCAATTTATTAATTTTCAGTCAAACAATTGCCGAGACTCAGCTAACAAACAACATTTTACAGAGATATCAGCAAAAGTAAATGCCGAAGTAATAGCCGTTGGAGATTTTACCGAGCTAGATTAGGTGTGCAGCAACTACCCGAATAGGACAAAGCTGCATTAAGCGGGGCTTTGCGCGTGAAAGCCTCGTACTACACTTCGATCAGGTTGACGATTTTATCCGGGACTCCCTTGCTCCTCATGGTGCCCACTAGACAAATTAAATATTTTCACTCCACAGTGCTCAAAAAATTTCAAATCGCGTCCTGAATCAGTTGCAAGTTGCCACACAATTATACGAATGCAAAAATGGCACAGGCATCGAAAACTCTCAATTGGAGACAACCCTGGCGTAGTGATTAACATCTAAACCTCCAAAATCACGAGCTCAAATATCATGCCCGGACAAGTCGCGAATGACCCAAAAGTGTTAACCCTCTCCTTTCCATGGTAGCACAAGTGAACACAATTTTTCGGGCAGTCTCATGTTTGAGAATCTATCATTAAAATGTGCTCATTA